CGCTACCAAAGCCTATTGATGGATTACGTGGCGCAAGAGGCGCATCTCGCGTCAACCAAGGAAATACACTTGCTTGACCTGGGCTAAACATTTGGGGAAAAGCATGAGTACAACAATATACAATTGGTAGACAAACATATCCACTTAATGCAGATCATGAAAGCATGATACAATTTTGCTCTGAGTTCATGGGATGAAGACTGAATAGAAGCAGTAGTAAGGAGTGGTTAGTGGTGGCCGATCGATGTGGTGGGATATGGACACACCACGCATGAACATCCCTGCTGATGATGACGTCCGACATGCATTTGAATTCTGGAGGCAATCTGTCCACAGACCTCGCCGAGATGGTCCAAAAAGCTCCAGATAGGCCTAACATAACTCGTTCTCACTGAAATGGCTCATGGTACAGGCCATAATCGGCCTAACGATACACCCATATTCTCTGTAATGGTTCGTGAACGTCAGACGCACTGTTTCCAGATTGTAATGGCACCCCAAATAGAAGTGCTCCCATCGATTTAGTGACATCTTCCACGTGGACGGTTTCGTGGAACACTTGAAGCGGATCCTTTGGAAGTATTACTTTCTTCGTTTCATACTACTTAGGGAGGTACCAATTCCATCAGGAAATGGTGTACGCCTGATGTTAATGTATCGGTCTAACGTTACCCATCCCCAGCGAGAGGTCTCGTGAACCCCGAGATTGACCCCATTAGGCCTAATTGGCCCCATAAGTCGAGTGCTGAGATTCTTTTGAACGAAAGAGTTAGGCCTAGGCCTGAAGACACTCCGTGGGTTAGGCCTTGCAGACATCAGACTTAGATGTTGTTGTCTGCCCCTGTTGTCAGAACCTTGTTTGTTTGGGTAAATGCATGATGAGTTTTTCGCCGCCCTGTCCAAGTAACGCAAAGCACTTTAATTGAACGCTCATGAATATTGAACTTTCCAAATCCCTCTGAGCACAGATTTAAAATTTTCTTGGACGTTTTCCCACTACTTAGGTGGCAATATAGACTGAATATACTTGACTAATTTTCAAAATGTACCAGGATACATCTTGGCTATACTGTTTTACTTTCCGGTCTCGGACCTCTGCTTAGCGCTAAGCTCCATGCTTGACGCTAATTAGCCTCAGTGGTTATAATCTTGAACCCTCTCAAAACCATGGAACTGTCGTTATTAGTGTGCAAGGAAGGGTTTCCTTAATTGACGTTCTCTCGTGGAAAAGGGAAAGAAATGAAGCATTCCTTTCAAATGTCCGTGTGTAAGTAGAGGGAGATAGGAAATATAGAACTCCACCCTCCACCTAAAGATAACAAAAATGGAATTTGATGACTTGGCAAGATCACCATGCAAGATGGAGCGGTCTTATCCACCAAAAAGGCTCATTCCGAAGCCGACTGCCCTTTCAACCATTTTTTTGTTGTTGCTCCATATCTACAGGATATGTATGAGGCAAATAAAGATGAATCGATGCCGCTACATCCGCCAGAAAATTTGTTTGCAAATATTCCCTCAAGAACGCGACCTCTTAATGGCTGGAAAATGAATATGCCTTTCTTCCACGAGCAGATAAAGCAGACTTAAAGCCGAGGCCGCAGAAGGATGAGAATTCACAAGTGCTTCTTCGCTTCCCCTCTCACCATGCAAGTCTGGGTCGGACTCGTTCTCCTCTTTCCAGGTAAGCTCATTCAACCAATACTAACGTCCAATTCATAATTTTCGCTGCTGTAATGAAAGTCGGATTTGCGCAGCGATTCACGGATTCGCATGCCGAGACGGCGACACGTGGAGGGTAGGTGACTCCTGCGACTTGTATTGGGAATGCCGGGGCGGGAGACCCCACATTCGACAATGCGACCCAGGACTCCAATTCCATCAGCTGCTCAAACGATGTTCCCCTCTTCAGGATCTATCCGGCTGCATTCCCTCCCATGGCGGTTTCGGTAAGCGGAGCGGTATTATTACGAGTGAAGAATTAACAAACTTAATTGACCCTGATAATTCAGGCTTCTTGCATAGTTCCTTCAACTCAAATGGGTCAGCTGTAAACCTCAACAAGTAATTACATCAGGGTTTAGTCTCATAGTGGAGACGTTCGGAGTTCTAAAGTTTCGAACACCACATCATAGGATTAAATGCCCGGTCAAAAAAACTTCCTACCGCTAAAGGCGAAATGTGAATTTAAACGAATTGATTCGAAAATTAGAATAGAATCTTTCCAATAATTTTTCAAGAGCCCACTCAGAATCTTTAATGGAAGGAAATTTGTTTGTGCCAATTGCACATCGCCACCAACAAAGAGCATTGGATAGAAAGTGGAGGTGGACGATTGGATGTGTCTAGGGCGGCAAGACATGACCTCGACGACGACTCCGTCGGGTCCGTACCAGTGTCCAGACGATGAGGAAGCGTACTACCCGCACCCGAAGTACTGCTATCTCTACTACCACTGCGAGGACGGCTACCCGGAACTGCTCTCGTGCTACGGGGACACCAACTTCGACATCGGAGATAGACGTTGCAAGAATCCTCTCTATGTGGAATGCCCTCCTCGCCTTCCCAGAGGCACCACCACGCCTCCCCCAGGTTCTTTTCCCAGTCCATCATTCTCTGTGCATTTTACTCAAGTCTCAAGTCAAACCTCGGTCTCGATCTTCCATTTAAATTGCCAGGCCTTCCAAATCAAGCACGCCGAAATTCTCTATTATCTCAAACATGTAACCCCTAGCATAATTTGCTTTATCAGCGGTTTATGTCCAGAAAAATCTAGATTCTGAATTAATTAACCGTAGCTGGCACCAGTAGCGCAGGCAGGAAATCGGCAAGGGGGGTAGGGGGGGGGGGATTGAGGCTAGGTAGACACTCCAACCGTACGCCTAGCTTCACTACCCGGAATTTACCTTTCCTAAGAAATCATGGTCTGGCGTTCTTGGGTCTGTGGACGGACATCGGACTTTCCTCGAAGGGGGATAGCTAAAATTGGAATTCCCAATGAAAGTTTAAATATGCTTGTCAGTGTCACTGACCGAGAAGTCCCGGGGGGGGGGGGGGGGGGGGTCTAA